GGGGAAGAGGGCTGGAGAGTGTAAAGCCAGGAGGTCGGCCAAGTACAGGGCCGTCCATGCCTCATTTGATTTGTCTGACCACTGGCAGGCCTTCTCGGAAGCTGCGCAGCTGGACTTGGTCCCTCGGTCCCCTTTTGTTCTGCACCTGCCTCTGTCTCTGCTCTGTGATATTCCTCACTATTCACTCCACCCACGGCCTCGTCACTCTTCCAGCCTGACTTCCACCAGCTGTGTCCTTCCCAGTGCTGCCATCAGATCCTGCACATGGCCTGGTGAAGCCTTGCCCTGAGCCATCTTTGTCACCTGCATTCTGTGCGGCTGGTAGAGACCCTGGCACCAATCCCTGCCTGTCCGTGCACTCAACTGTCACTGGATTCCTTTTTTTGTCCACATCAAATTTAGACCCAAACGGCTGCCTCTCTCCTGCCCACACAGGCACGGGGCCCCTCCAGGAGCTATCGAGCCATAAGAATACGATCCCACTTGGATTCCTCGGTGAGCCCAGCTTAAGGGAACACAACTGGTCCACGTGGGGACTCATGTGCACAAGAGAGACCATCTCGTGGGCTGAGCTGAAGCACCACCTGAGGCCCAGGAGCAGACTGACCAGAAGGAGGAGCAAATGGAAAATGAGGAGACCAGACTTCTGCCTCCACCCCGCTGCCCCACACTGTGGGCCTTTGGGGCTTCAGGCTTCTCTTCTCACTGGCACAATGAGAAAGCTAAGTCTGTTGGCTTTGGAATAACTTGTACCCTTAAAACTCTATACTTTGGCAGGTAACACACTGACTTCCATCAGCAAATATGGCTGTGACACCCAACAGTAAAACAGCCATAAGACAGCTTGAGTGCAGTCTACATGCTAACCACACGTATTACCTCACCAAATCCTCACAGAAACAGAAGGAGGCATTTGTATCCCCATTTTATAGAGAAGGAAACTAAGGGCCATTGAGTTGCCATAGAGTTAACATGACATGTCCAGATAACAGGAGGTACAGTGAGATCCAAACCTGTGCCTGTCTTACTCCAAAGCCAGTGCCCGTCCTTGAAAAGAAACACTCCTTCAGGTTGGATTAGGCTAAAGTATACTCCGGCACCAGCCACGAAGTAGAGCTTTCTGTTCCCAAGTGCATTTTGGCTGAACCTGAGCCAGAGAAGACTGGCCCTTCTTCCAGAAAACCCAGAACTGACCATGATGGGCTCAGTCAGTAGATGGCTGACTAACAGAGCTGGAAGATGTCTGAAGTTATGTCATGAAATCTGTCACCACGGTCAGATGCTCAGGCATCTGGGAGGCAGCGTGGTAGGGAATGGAGCCCACTACAAGGAGATCAGCATCATGTGAGTTCAAGCCTCGCTCAGTCACAGACCTTCTAGAGGCCCTTGGGCAGCTCATGTCTCCTCTACAGACTGCAATGCCCACCTGTCACAAGAGGGGTCTGGCGCCCTTGCATCCACCTGGCTGTTTTAGGAAGCTCCTATGCACCAGGCACTAGATGAGGCCTTCCCCATGCATTAAGTCCCCTCCAGTTCAGGAATGATGCTGCCAAAATTCTGATGCCAAAATTCAACCACAAAGAATGTGATTTCCCAAACAGTGAGCCCCAGGGGCAGGACACCCTGCCCGCTGGAGGGGAGGGCACTGAGCGTCTCTGCTTCTCCACTACTGACAACCTTCCATGCCTTTGCTCTTCTTGCTGTTCCAAGAGCAGAGACATACACTGCCTTCCACAGTAATCAGCACTGGGCCCTGAAAGTGGAACCAGCAATCCCACAGGCCAAGGAAGGGAAGCCAGAGGAAGACAAACAGAGACACATGGGGCACATCCCATCAACTAATCCAGAAGCTCTGGGGAAGAAGAATTAGCCTCTTGGCCCTTTATTGGTCTCATCTCTCTTCCTTGCCTTATTCTCCTAGAGCAGCAGATGGGCACAAGAGGTGAATGAGGAGTGGAGGTCAGGTTCAGGAGGCTGTGAAGGAGGACAGTAAGGATTCAGGGCAGTGCAGGTTGCAGATTGAGCGATGATGTCAATGGCAGTGACCTTGGCAAAGGAGGAAGCCTATGAGGAGGAAAGACAACTTAGCAGCCTCGGAGAGTGGGGGCGTTGCCTCACCAAGGAACGGCCTGGGCATGGCCACCCAAAATGGGAACAAGGGGCCTCCTGGGCAAGTCACCTTCCTTGGACCATCTGCCACCAGCCCATGCTGCCAGGTTACTAAGAGCTATCTTTGACATCCTGTCCCCAGGGCAGTGAAATGCTGTGACCTATGCTCCTTCCCCCTATAGCTAAGCAACAGTTCAAATGAGTTGTCTCACTCAGGGAGAGAGAGAACCCAGCCAGTTTCTGCCTCTGCAAGAGAAATCTCCAGAGCCTCCCTGAGTTGGGGAAGAGCTGGGGTCAAGTCCTCTGCATGTGTCATGGGATATGAGCTCATACTCATTACCCTGGGCGGGGGCTGAACAGTTACCCAGACTCATCAACTGCACCCGTGGCCTATGAGGTCACTCACACAGACACTGAGAGGATCTCCTCCACATACATGAAAGTCTGTCCCCTAAACGGCAAACCTGAGGGCAGAGCATGGGGCCCCTGAGCCCCTAACAGGCTGGGGTTTCTCCAATCCCTCCCCTGCACACACATACTCCCTCAGTTCTCCACTCCACCCTTCTCCCCACACCCTAGCTTTGCCCAGTGGCCAAAGGTTCACACACACTGTCCTCCCCCCCAAAGCTCTCATTATGCTGTGAATCAGAGGGCGGGAGGCAGATCTGGCAGATAAGAGCCCCTAAGAAACCCATAAGACCGGTGTGACTTCCTTGAGCAGGGTCTGCTGCCCTGGGACTGACTGTGAAGGGCTGGGGAGAGGCAGATTCCTCCCATGTGAGGTCAGCATCCAAGTGCAAGCCAGGAGTGCCCATGTGAAGATACCTGGTTAGTTCTTCATTGGGGAAGGGGGGGTTAGAGGGCATGAAGAGGGCTTTCCTTGCCCCAGAAGATACCGTAGTTCCTGCGCTATAGGGGAGGCAGTGTGAGGCCTGGGTGGTATCAGGGAACAGAGGGCATGAGCAGAGGGTGGGATTCCAGGGTCAGGGGACCCTCCCTCCACCTGTCTTCCCAGACTGAGCTCTAGGAGCATGGCAAAATTAGCACTACAAATAGATCTTTCTGTGGCTGGAGGGAGATGCTTGTCAGAAAACCACTGGGAATCAAGACACTGCTCACAATTAGCCCCAGAAATGAGTATTTGCTTTCATATTATTCTAATATTTCCTTTTGATTATGTTGTAAAGAAGAGAGTTTAAAAAAATGATATCCACAAAATAAGCTATCAGCCCACCAGTAAAAAAAGAAAGGCATGTTAGGGATGGTGGCTCAATTGATTAAGCATCTGACTTCGGCTCAGGTCATGATCTCATGGTTCATGAGTTCGAGCCCCACATTGGGCTTTGTGCCGACAGCTCAGAGCCTGGAGCCTGCTTCAGATTTTGGGTCTTCCTCTCTCTGCCCCTCCCCTGCTCACACTTGCTCTGTCTCTCAAAACTGAATAAACATTGAAAAACAGAGAAAGTCATGTCACAATTCAGTTTTGTTTACACACACATTTGCACATACACAACGCTAAAATGTTTAATAGTGGCTATTTCCAGGTGGTGAAATTCACCATTTATCCATTCCTTCAACTAATACTTACAGAGCACTTTGTATATGTGATGATTATGATAGATTCTGGGGACGTGGCTGAAAACACAGCAGGCAAAACCCCTGCCTTATGGAGCTTATTTTCCAGTGGGAGAGATAAAAAAATAAATAAGTGACCTAATCTCTTGACTGTTATTAGTGAAATGAACGAACCCGAAGATAGCTTCCAGGTAGGTAGTCAAGGAAGGCTCTCTGGCAGACTGCAACACTTATACTGAAGCTAAAAGACATGAAGAGCCAGGGACCCTGGAGGAGCCTGCTTGGTGAAAGAGAGTAGACACCAAGCCTTGAGGTGGGGAGCTCTGAACTTGTCCAAGGATCTGAGGACACTTAGTGAGGGCTTTGAAATCACATCAGTGAGTTTGGATTTTACTCAGGCGAGCTAGGTCACTTTAAGCATCGAGGAGGGACAAGTTTCAACCCTCACTCTGAAAGATTGCTTAAACTATTTTTAGAAAATGGTTTAGAGAAAGCAACAAAGGATTTGGTTTTGATCCTTATACTTTTATTCATTTCCAAAAGAATTATAGAAAAAAAGCAATAAAAAGCAATCATAAAAGCAATATTTATTATTTTATATATTGTATATTTAATTATTGTTTCTTTGCCTGGACTTGTCCAGACTTTGGATTATTTATGAACATGGCTTTCTTGAGAACTTCTGTAGCTACAAACTTGCACATGGGAACTAGACAGCCCCTGGCTCACAGCAGAAGACCCTTACAAGCCTTCTACTCAATTCTCCTGGCCTAAAGTCTGACCCCCTGAGCCAGGATTCATTTTCACACAGAATGGAGTTATAGATATTTCCTGAGAGCAGACTGTGGGCTAGTGGCCAAAAGAACCCCAGGAGCCACCTTGACACCACCTTCGCTGGCCTGAATGTCCCATAGAGGCAACAACTTTCAATTCTGTGCCCTCGGAAATGAATCTCTAGGCCTAATTATGAGAATGACCCTGTTTTGCAAGTGAAGAAATTAAGATTCAGAGAAGAGGCTTGGCTGATGTCACAAAGCAATAGAATAAAGGGGACAAGTTTCTCAAGATGCCTCCCTCCCCTCCCCATGCCCAGGTCAGATGAGTATCACAGGAATGACTGAGCCCCCAGAGCCCTCTGTGAATCTCTGTGAAAAGGGGCCCCTAGAGGTTTTCTGCTTCAGGTGCCTGTGATGAGTCAGGAAGGGGCTGGAGGAAGTTGACCAACTCGAGTGGTGAAACCAGTCCATCTTCTTCAACCAGGGCAGGAGGCTGAACTGGGGAACCATATAAGGGCACCCTGGCCCCTCCTCAGCTCAGAACTCCACTAGAGGCCTCTGCAGCCACCCCCACGGTGAGGCTGGTGAGTATTAGCGGAGAGGACGGGGACTGACACTACACACCTGAACGTGGCTGGTGGCTGGCCTGGGCGGGTACATGGATCACTCTCAGATTCGGCTGGACTCCGTGTCTTTCTAGCAGGGCTCAGGTCACTAAGCTGAGGGACATATGCCACGGCATGGAAACACTAGAGAGCAGCCCACTCCCCTCCTGAACTACCTTTTCTTGGTTTGGTGCTTTGGAGTGTGTGTGTGTGTGTGTGTGTGTGTGTGTGAGAGAGAGAGAGAGAGAGAGAGAGAGAGGGAGGGAAGGAGGGAGGAGATAAGGAGGAGATGGGGATGAGGGAGAGTATGGCCACTTTCTTCCTGGAACTGTCTTATTTGGGCTGACCTTGATTGTGCCTCCATCATGGGGCAGGGCTGAGGGAATTGCATGTGACTCTTGCTGTGCTGCAGAACAGAGAACTAGAAAATGGGGGAATACTTCTATTTGGGGAGACGTAGGCAAAGCAGGGGCAGGAAAACACAACTTAGAAGTACAAGACTCGAAAAAACTGGCTCCACTTCTCAGGAACCTTCCAGGCCTTCCTCAGTCCCCTCCCCACCTCCCCACCAGGTGCCAGGGCCGATCTGCTAGTGTTATAAAAAAGAAACCTGAGGCCCAGAAGGGCTAAGTGACCTGCTCAGAAACACACAGGCTTTCAGTGGGACACTTAAGCAGAAGCTGTGTCGTGTGACCAGTCCAGGGCACGTGCCGTGACCCTGGCATGGACGGCTGATTTTCTAGGACTCGAGAGTCCTCCAAAGTCCCTCTTTTCCTAGGAACTCACCTCTTCCCATCAGAGTTCATCTCTCCTTCTTGGTCAGTGCAGATGAGAAGTAGAGGCACAGGCAGATGCCTGGATAGCTCGGTTGGTTAAGTGTCCAACTCGGTTTTGGCTCAGGTCATAATCTTATGGTTCATGGGTTGGGATCAAGCCCTGTGTCCAGCTCTGCATTGATTGTGTGGGGCCTGCTTGGGATTCTCTCTCTCCTCCTCTCTCTGTCCCTACCCACCTTGCACTCTCTTTCTCTCTCAAAAAATAAAAATAAAAATAAAAATAAAAGGAATGGGGGCAGAGGCACGGATTAGGCAAGAAATGGCACCCAGCCCCCCCTTGCCCAGCAATTTTGAAGACAGACCTCTTGTTGGCTCTTTCTGGAAACAGGGGGATCCCGGGAGTCCTGCCGTCCACTCTGTGCTCCTGGAGAACAGCACCCCAGAGTGGGCGGGAGAGCCCAGCCCACGGTAAGAGAAGGGTGCTGAAAAGCCAGGCACTGCTGCAGTTTCCAGGGACTCATCTACGCCCTCCACCTTCAGTCACCCTTCTGATCCCTCCTGTTTTTCAGGTTGATCTAAAGCAGCTTCCACGATGTCCCAGCAACACACTCTGCCAGTGACCTTGCCCCCTGAACTCTGTCAGGAGCCCCTCAAGCCTGTTTCTCCTCCCATCAACACCCAGCAGGAGCAAGTGAAACATCCAACCCACCTGCCTGCCCTGTGCCAGGAGATGTCCTCCGAGCTCCCAGGGGAGGTCCCCTTGGGGCACATGGAGAATCATTCAGCTCTTGTGAAGGGGGAGCCTGAGCAACAGTGTGCACCACCACAGCTGGAACAGCAACCGGAACAGCAGCAGCAAGACTCACAGGAGCAGGAACTGTGTCTGGAACAGCATCCGGAACAGCATCTGGAGCTACAGGAACCAGAACAGCATCTGGAACAGCAGCAGCAGCAAGAGTCACAGAAGGATGAAATTCACCTGGAACAGCATCCAGAACAGCAGCAGCAGCAAGAGTCACAGGAGCAGGAACTGCACCTGGAACAGCATCTGGAGCAGCAGAAGGAGCAGCAGCAACAAAAGGAACAGTGTGAGGAACATCAGGAAGCAAAAGCTCTGGAGCAGCAGCTGGAGCAGGTGAAAGCACCAACGAAGCAGCAAGAGGAACAGCCGACACAGGACAAGAAGCTCATGGACGAGCACCTGGATGGAGAGCTAGCAAAGGGAAATGAGCACCTGGAAAAGAGAGAAGAGCAGCTGCTGGAGCAGAGAGCAGAGCCAGAGCCAGCTGAACAGCAGGGAGGGCAGCTGAAGCAGCCCGCCTTTGTCCCAGCTCCTGGCCAGGCCCAGGAGCCCCAACTAGTCCAGCCACTGAAGGGAGAAGTCATGCCCCTCACAGAGCAGCAGCAGCAGAAGCAGGAGGCGTATGACCCCCCCAAATGTAATTAAGCACCCCCAGTATCCCAGAGGCTCTCAGGGCATCCCACACAAGTGACGAGAGAGCCCGTGGCCTCTCTTATCTCAGGTCCCCCGCCAGGTGGCCCTCCTCATCTGTGAACCTGCGTCAGCCTGTCCTTCTGCATGCTTCTTCGATGGGGCTGAGGGAAGGGAAAGTTATGTCCAGAACCCATCCCTAATGAGTTCAGTCCCAACAGTGGCCAGACCCTCTGTCACTAATTCTGTTCTTCCCCAGTATTATAGTTGAATCTGTGAGTATTTACAGTAATACAGAATAAATCCTGGAAGTCTGGGATCCTGTATTCTTGTCTTTTCTCCTGTTTCTCACCATATGAAGAACCTGTGTGTGTGGCGGGGGGGGGGGGGGGGGGGGGGGGGGGGGGGGGGGGGGATGGTGTCAGTGGTTGCAATGGACTCTCTTGGCCAATTCCTGGAGGAGGACAGACATCTTTAATTCTGCTCCCCAAATCACCCAATGTATTCAGCAACTTCTTAAAAGGAAACAAAACCAAAACCAAAAAAACAAAACAAAACAAAAATAACTTCACTCACACACCTGAAAGCAATGCTTGCCAATTGCTGGTCATGAAACAGAGACAAGTTATTTTGGTTGGGGGAAGGAGAATCTGTCTGCCTCCGTCCAGTACTGCTTTACACCACCCACTGGGCTCAATCCTGGCCCCTGGCCAAGCACAGCCCATTGCCTCCAATCTCCTTTCATCTCCTGACATCGGGGAGGACTCTGGGAGGGTAACACCAGGGAGGTGTGGGGGCTCCAGCTGGGCTCTGGTCCTTTCCTGGGTGTTCTCTCTGTAGAATGGCTTCCAACAGTCTTATGAACTGTCTACTTGGCTACTGAAGATGTTAAGAAAGCAATAGAAGCAGAATTGAGCAACGTGAGAAGAGGAGACAGTCTCAAGACTAGTGTCTGGTGGGGAAAGTGACAGTGTCACTAAAGATGGAAAAAGTTGGGCTCTCTGGAATCATGGGAGTGCCCAATAGGCTGTAGAAATACAGATCCAAGGCCACTGCAGCCATTACCCTTCCTGACATTTCTGTAGTTTTACTGAAGGACTTGGGGCACTCTCCTTCCTGGGACAAACTCTATTGAACGCTTCAACTCACCTGCCTTTAACTATTTAACCCTATCATTTCAGGCAGGTTGCCTCAAGCCACCCAGAGCTATTTAACCACAGCAATGAGATGTCTGGGGCATATCGAGAGGTCCACAGGCAGCCAGATTCAACAGACCTGAAAGGCACTTAGCCTCCCTCACTCCCCGCCCAACCCCAGCAACACTCGCCATGTCTCCCCCGTAGGTGGTCTCTCTGGGGCAGAGATACGGCCATCTGTGTACTCACCTCAGCAGAGGCACCATGATCACGCCACCTCCTCTTCTTCCCCAGCCCCGCCCCAGGACCACTTCCTTGCTATATCTGCCAACACCCACGAGCTTGGACTGAGATCATTCCTCACCTCCACTACTGCAGTGGCCTTCAAGCTGGTCCCCTTTACTCCGCGGCTCCCCACACACCCCACACTGCATGCATCACACAGAGGACGAGTTCTACATAAACTTCTGATGTAACCTCATCGCTCCTGCTAACACTCTCATTACAGACCTTCCTCGACTTACAATAGGGTTACGTACTGATAGACCTATCACAAGTTGGAAATACTGTAAGATGAAAATGTACTTAATACACCCAACCTACCAAACATCATAGCACAGCCCACCATGAACTCACTCAGAACACTTAGATTAGCCCAGTTAGGTGACATCGTCCAGCACAAAGCATATTTTATAGTGCAGAGTTGAACATCTCGTGTAATTGATTGAGTTCTGTGCTGAAAATGAAAAACAGAAAGGTTGTAAGGGTACAGAATGGTTACCAGTGCCTCAGTTGCTCTCCCCTGTGACTGTGTGGCTGACAGGGAGCTCCGGCTCCCTCACCTGCATATTGGTAGGCCAGGAAAAGGTCCAAATTCAGAACCTGAAGTGTGGTTTCTACTGAATGCATAATGCTTTCACATCATTGCATAGCCAAAAAAATCCTAAGTCAAATCATAGTAAGTTAGGGGCCATCTGTACTTATAGGATGAGCATGCTTAAGTCCTCCTAACAGGACAAGAATTAAGAGAAGCCTGTGTAGGACTGGACAGGAAGTTTGGGGGCAAGGGAGACATAACCAGAAAAACTCAGAGTGTGCACACATTCCCTTTGGAGTCTTAGGTTTTGATTTTTCTAAATAAACTTTACTTTAGAGCGGCTTTGGATTTACAGAAAAGTTAAGAAGTTAGTTCAGAAATTTCCCATAGAGGAATGGATAAATAAATAAATAAATAAAGGAATATTATATAGCTATAATATAGATATATGTAACATAGATACAATACATATTATCTATAGATAGATGAATGGATATATATGCATATATATTTATACATACATATACATATATATATAATGGACTATTACTCAGCCATAAAGACGAATGAAATCTTGTCATTTGTGACAATATAGATGGACATAGAGGGCATTACTCTGAGTGAAATAAATCAGACAGAGAAAAACAAACACCATATGATTTCACTCAAAGGTAGAATCTAAAAAACAAAACAAACAAGCAAACCAGAAACAGACCCATAAATATAGAGAACAAACTATTGTTGTCAGAGGGGAGGGAGTGGGAAATGAACAAAATGGGTGAAGCGGAGTAGGAGGTACAAGCTTCATGGAATCAACAAGTCACAGGGATGAAAGGTGCAGCATGAGGAATATAGTCAAGGGGCACCTGGGTGGCTCAGTTGGTTAAGAGTCTGACTTTGGCTCAGGTCATGATCTCATGGTTCTTGGGCTTGAGCCCCGCATTGGATGCTGTGCTGACAGTGTGGAGTCTGTTTGGGATTCTCTCTCCCTCTCTCTGTCTCTGCACCTTCCCTCCTCTCTCTCTCTCAAAATAAATAAATAAACTTAAAATTTTTTAAAAAGGAATATAGTCAATGGTATTGTAATCACATTGTATGGTGACAGATGATAGCTACACTTATGGTGAGTACAGCATAATGTATGAAATCACCATGTTGTACACTGAAGCTAATGTAACATTGTGTGTCAGCAATACTTCAATTTTTAAAAAAAAAGGGAACATGTGGATGCTACAAATTCAGCTTTCTATGAAGGTCGCGATTACGTCCTATGCCTGGTGTTTAGCACCAACTGCCCTCTGCAGTAGATGAGGGTCTTTAAACACTACTTTCATATCATATCTTAAGATAGTGAGTGGATGGACTGAGTTTGTCATCTTTTTCTCCTTAAGGCATCAGTTGGATCCAGGAACAATCAACCGATACCATTGTCTTTATGGTTGCCATTTCTTCCATATGCTCTCAATGTCAAAAATACTTCACAAGCCAACACAACACCATCCACTGTATCTCGCCCCAATTCACCATAGAAGATAGTGATGCCAATGCCACAACCTGCCAAGGGCAATCAGCACTCCACTTACCACAGTGAAGGGGTTCCTGTCTCCTCTGGCCAGTGAGTAAGCCAACTACGGAATCCCACTATCGGACTCTGCTTCCTGGAACCACAGCTGGTAGTCCTTGCTGGGTGGCCCAGCAGCACCCCCTGAGGTGAGGATTTGTTTGCAAGGGATTTATCAAGGCAGTTCTTCCAGGAGAAACTGTTAAGGGAGTAGGAGAAGCAAGACTGGGAAAAAGATGAAACCATGTAGGTGTTTGGGTTCAGGCATCGGTGTATGGAGGTAGCTTCACCCTGGTCCCACAAGAGAACTTTAGAGCATAAAGGACTCAGAGCTGTACTGATGTGAGGCAAGAGAGCCAAGCTTCCACACTCCAGTGCCCATAAGCCATTGGCTAGGGGCCATTCCAAGTAGACAAAATCTTAGGCACTGCAGTCTTTGTGCATATGAGAGCAGAGCAGATTCCATTGCCCAAAGGCAGTCATACGAAAAAACATCACAATGTGAAAAAATGGAAGCAAAATCATACCAACAGTGACGTTGAAGGACACCACGAGGACACAGTCAGTAAACTCCAGATAACGAAAACCCCGTATGGCAAATATGACTTCTTCAATAAAAGACTTCAAGGAGACAAAAAAGAAATGGATAGAGAACCTTACAGATTAAAATGAACTTTAAAGGCATATTAACCAATAACAATGAGTCTACCTTATTTTGATCCTATTTCAAAGAAATTCTTAAAAAAATTAATGACCCTTATGAGATAATTAGAAATGTGAGTATTGGAGCGGGGCGCCTGGGTGGCTTAGTCGGTTAAGCGTCCGACTTTCGCTTAGGTCACGATCTCGCAGTTCGTGGGTTCAAGCCCCGCGTCGGGCTCTGGGCTGACTGCCAGCTCGGAGCCTGGAGCCTGTTTCAGAGTCTGTCACTCCCTCTCTCTCTGACCCTCCCCTGCTCACGCTGTCTCTCTCTCTCTGCTAGAAATACATAAAGCATTAAAAAAAAAATGTGAGTATTGGAGGAAAAAGAGTCCTTAATTTAAAGATATCTATAGACGAAATGACAGGAGTCTGGAATCTACTGGGCAATGAGTGGGATATAAATGAGACAACACAGCTTACAATTTGATAATTATTAAAGCTGGATGATATACATGAGATTCATTCTAGTATCCAGACCACTTCTGTATATGTTTAAAATTTTTCATAAAATAGTAAAAAAAATAATTGAAAATGCCAATAGCAACCATATAGAAATTTGTCCTTTATAACTACTTAAATATATAATAAAAACAGACTTCAACTTAAAAATGTAAAGAGTAGTAAAGAACTTTTAAAACATTTTATAGAGATAGTTTTCCCCCAAGAAAGGGATGGTCTAAGATAGCAGAATACATACAGGTAGTTTACTTTGAGAAGTGGCCGAAAGTATCCAAAGTCAGGGGCACTAGAAAAAATCAAACAAAACAGGAGCAAAGTCAAAGGGTGTGCTGTTGAGCTGGGTGCTATCGTGGGCAACTGCAGGTAAACCCCACTCTGGAGCTTCTAAGGACCGTGAAGAACATACCTCAGAACTGTTAACCTGAGACACCAAAAGGATGACATCTCTTCATGGACGCCTGCCTTCCAATACTCAGAGGTGTCCTAGAAGATGTTCCCTCCCTCATTCTGCCACACTGTGCTGCCACCAACACGATGAGGCAGGCTCCTCTCAGTGTTCTATGTGTGG